AAAGATTTGAAATAGATTCATAACGATAGTTTGGAAAAAAGGTGTGTATGTATACATATATATTTGAACCATTTTTAATTACTCATATTCTTGAGTACAATCCAACTTCTTAGGAATGTATAGCTGTTTCTATTACTGGTATTTTTTTAAAGTATTGTTGATAATAATTTTTCCTTCAAAAATTATTGCTAGTAAGACTTTTTTTAAACAAAATATTTCTAGTATTAAAACCTATTTTTATACAAGTTTGGGTGTTAACTATTTGCCCATAGCTGGGACCCTAACAGGTGCTACCACCTCGGGTCAGGGCGAACCTGGGAACACCAGCAATTAAGAGTTGGTTTCACGGTCCTCAAAACCTCCTAATCAGAGGCCTTGCTTTTGGACGTATTTTATCGTCTTACCCAGAACGCGGATGTAGTTTATCATCATACCCAAGATGGCGGCATAATTGTGGTTAGCTCTTTGGATGGTGAACAATTACAAAATGTGCCTGAGCAGGCATCTGCAGCAAGGATTTGCTAGCTAACTTAGCAGAAAGGTATAATCGGACGCGGCCTGCAGCCATAATATATATATATATATATATATATATATATATATATATATATATATATATATATATATATATATATAAAAAATAGAAGACGATTGGTTGAGAAAACTAAAATATACACTATTCTAAAATAAAAGTTTTTTTTTATTAATTTCTTTTTTACGATTTATCAACCTAATTTACTGTGCGAAGTCTGCCACTAAAGTATGACAATTTGATAGATTAGATGAGTTCATTTTTCTCTGCCAGTTCACATCTTTATATTTAAGGATAACTTGCCACTTCCACGGAATAAAATCATCCTCATTTCTTCCGTATTCCAAATATATAGAGGAAGTTCTGCTCAAGAATAGCTACTCTGTGGAAAATTCTCCCGCGTGGATACTTTCCTGAATGCTACAATATCAACCTGTTCAAGCCAAGTTTCAATCATAAATTATACTCATAATCTTCACTTCCTACAATCTCATTTTTCATTAATATCACGTACTTCTTACTTCATAATCATTTAACAGTCACCCTCTACTTTGAGTGGCTCTCGTGTTGTGAATATTAGTACAAAAAGATCAACCTAGCAAGACATTCCGCGGGTGAAGCGAGTGAGATCTTCACTATGTAACTCTCTATTAAGATCTCGTCACAGATTCAGCAAGATGTAAGAACCAGCTAAATGGCATATTCAGTAACCCCTGTGACCTTGTGCCAGACTACGATCAGCGTAATTAATAATGTTAATACAGCAGTTTTTTTTTGTTTTTTTTAAAGATAATTACAGGAAAAATCTTTTTAAAAAACTGTTTATATTTTTCGAGGGAATGGTGGAAAACAAACAAAAAAAAAGTAAATCTTTGATTTCACATGTCAAGTATTTAGAAATAAACGATTTAAAAAAATCAAATAACGATAAAGTCGAGAAAAAATGCTGTGTTTTATGAGTTTTCGGGTCGTATTTTTAATTAATTAAAACCAGTTATGAAAGCTAAATTAATTAAAAAGGAATTGATACGAACCGTAATACAGGAAGTTGAAAACAACAATTTAAAAAAATGGTTTGATTTTGTAAAATAAAGCACGGGTTAAATCATTAGCATTAAAATTGCAACATTTCTTTTTTCAAAAAAAAACATTAAACAAATTTGTTCTTGAGAAAACAAAAAGCAGAAATTGTTTTGTATCTTTAGGATAATTTAAATTAAGCAAATTCTATGTTCTATTTTTAAAATATTTTACGAATTAGTGTAAATTAAATTTAGTGATTAATTCATATTTAAGTACAGTTAAATTTAAATGTTATTTTTTTTCTATCTATCTATCTATCTATCTATCTATCTATCTATCTATCTATCTATCTACATTGTTACAGCAAGCCAACCATCTAATATTTGGGTATGCCCTGCTTTATTCTGGAGGTAATTGTGTATTTGCTCATCGCAGATCTCGAATGATATAATTTTGTACAGGTCTGAAAACTCCACCCTTGGAAGGCTGACGCAGCACATTCTTCCTAACTTAATCCTTTGATTTTTTTCTTGTTCTGATGAATCGGTCTGCAAGACAATGTTTGCCACCACACCAAGACATATCCAGGAGGCGACTCATATACAAAAAATAACACACACACGCACACACACATACTTATATATATATATATATATATATATATATATATATATATACACACACGACGGGAAGTCAAAAATTATCCTCACCCATAAAACAGATATGCTATGGCGAAAGTGCAGATAATTTTTTAAATTACCCTCGTATATATATATATATATATATATATATATATATATACTGAGAGAGAGAGAGAGAGAGAGAGAGAGAGAGAGAGAGAGAGAGAGAGATTGGCAACTAGATTGTTGAAGTATCTCGATGCAACCGTATGTTCTATTCTAATAGTTCCTTCCCTCGTACTTTTCGCCTCTGAAACCCTCTTCTGTTTTCTTAATTCTTTGCCATCTACAATCTTCAAAAATTTAGATGCAACACAATCAGAACCTTCTGCCTTCCCGAATCGCAGTCTTTTATAAATCCATTCTCCTCACTAAAATTCACTCATTCTCTATCGCTCTCAGTAATCCCTTGCTTCTTATCTCTTTGCTTGGTGTGAAAAAAAAACGAAAAAACTCCCAATGGAGTACACACACACACATATATTCTTTAATCATTGTAATGTTTTATGTGTTGTGTAAGTGAACTTGAATAGTAAATATACTATCTAACAGTGAATATAAAAAAAAATGAGAGGTAACACAATCAGCATCTTCTGACTTCCTGAATCGAGCTCTTTTATAAATCCTTTCTCCACATTAAAGTCTTCTCACTCTTTTTCACTCTCAGAAGCCCTCTTGTGTCTTAGTGGCATTATCATCTTGCTTGAAGTGAAACTATTTAATTAAAAGAATATATGGAATGGGTGGAGGAGAATTGAAGTGATTGGAGGAAGACGTGAAAAGAGTGGAGATAAAAGTGAAGAGTGTGGAGGAAGATAAAGAGAAGCAGACAGAGATTACTTCGAATAAAGATAAATCTTGAATCTATATTTCTAAAAATCATATCAGATATGATGAAGAAAAAGAAGGTTTAAAAATATCAGTTCGTCTCTCTCACGAAGAAGGAATATCTTCTAATACATACGCTTAGTAGATGTCAGTATATATACAGTAATCCCAACCACACCAGGCATACATAAAAAAAACAAAAAAAAAAACAAACATTCCGCGTCTTATATACCGATAACTGGATTGTCGGTACAATACTATCAAGAAGACATCTATGGAGTACACACTAAACCTCTATTCAGATTGTGTGTGTGTGTGTGTGTCTGTACGTTTATATATTGGATCGGATTTCCTACATTTTTCAACGAAACTTCACAGGACTGCGTAAAATTACCTTGCGGTGGTTCTGACAGCGCCAAAAATTGAAAAACACAATTCTTTTTGCACGAAATCAATTTGAAAACACGATTAAGTCACCAGAATAAAAGGGGGACAACTCATATCGAGTTATACTTATTATAAAACCCAGGTTGTTTGTTTGTGTGTGTGTGTGTGTGTGTTTTTATATATGGGATCGGATTTCCTACATTTTCAACCGATTTCAACAAAACTTCACTTTTTTTGGCAGTAGTAGTGTTTCTTATTGTCTTGCACACTTTTTTTTTTTTTTTTATTCAGAATGCTTTAAAAATTCCATTTACAAGAGACAGTTGTTTATAATAAAATTCTATTCAATCGGTAGACTCATAACGATTGAAACCAATGTTTTTGTTTGAGTTTGGGTTTGACCAATTCGTTAAAAAAAACAAAAAAAAACTAATTAAGACATGCGTGTCCGTCAACCTTAAGCAATAATCTGTGTCAATTTTTCAGTATTTATGATGGTCGATTCTTGATCTATGTCTTACTGTTACATCCACGGGCAACGCCGGGCTCTACTGCTAGTATATGATATTATAGATAAAATTTATGGTTATAAATAATGTCAATATATATGAAAAGAATAGATATGTAAGAAAAAATGAACCATTAATTCAATATTTTAATCTTTTTCCTAAATCTTTCTATCCAAATTATGTCGCTTCATAATCAGCTGCTTTGGGTCGATAGAGCTCGACATTCAAGGAAGGGAGTTCATCTTGGAGAATCAAAAGTCTGATTTTAAACCTCTGCTGCCTCGAGGTCATATTCCAACATGGTAAATCCTATGGAAGTAAATCCAGACTGAATACCTGAAGTGAAGCTCCGCCGGAAGTTGGCTATCAACGCTGACAACTTTCCGGCAACTCCTGCAATTAAACGGTCCCCAAATGTATTTCTTTTGGGTCTTGTCGGTATAGACGAGATAGGCACGGTGTGGGTGGGGGTTAAGATATAATCTGGGCCTGCGCCCGGAAGAGGTCACTCCAGTTTCACCACCAGAGGACTGAATTTTGACCAAAATCGCGTCACATGTGAGTTACATTTTCAAATATTGTGTCTTCACATCTTCACGCGTGTTATCATATCGTTTTATGCTTATATTTATGATATACTTTTAGTATTTTGATTTCTAGATTTATTGATGTTAAGTTGTTTGTTTTTTATGGTTAATGCTTATTGTATTTGTAATCGTTTATTACAGTTCATATGAATGCACGCACAAACACATATACGAGGGTAAATCTGAAAGTGAAGGCATTTTTGAAAAGACGCGGTAAAAACAACATGGATGCGCTAACGTGCGACACCACTCATGCGCATGGGATGATGGGTAACCAGCTGCATGCAACATTCCAACATTCAGGCGATTGCAACGAGGTCAGACGTATGGACGCTCCACTCAGCGATTGTACCATCGATGAACAAAGCACCGATGTCCGGTTTTTGTGAGTAGCACTCCGTCGTTTGATATTAGTACAGTATGGAACAGGCACCACGAATAAACGAAATGGTGT